AGATGATGTCTAAAGTATGAGTGAATACACTAATCAGATCCATTACAAGACATGAATTTTTTGTTTGTTATACCTATGGATAGATGTTACAAATGTAGTGCACAAACCTTTGATAGTATTTTGCCATCAGCATTGATGCTCCCACATTACATAATTTGCTTACCATCTAGTCCATTAATTTATATTTCCCAACTCCATGAGGTGCTATATATGTGGCTGAAGTAACCAATAACTGGTGATTAGCGAGTCACAGAGAACATCTACACATTCTAGAAAATTACACGATTTATTTGAATTTTATTATGATGCAAAAGTAAATTTCTTTCTTGAATGGTGATAGATTGGTTGGATGGTTTTACCGATATTCATTGTAACACCCAAATATCATAAATCTAGAGTTTACCAAAAAACCCACTTTTCTTTACATTAAATTCGGAAACGATAAAAATAATTCCTTTATTCTAAAAACATAAATAATATCAGTAAAACAACCCGAAATATGAAAAAGTGCATCTATTCTAAAGCAACATAATCAACTAAATATTTAAATAAACATGTTCTTAAACGTAAATGAAACTAATTATTAAATTAAAAGATAGAAAACTTAATAATTTTTATTTCTTTAGCTCCTCTTGGTAGCCCTGTATTACCATCCTGACACAATTCCAATTGATCTGAATTAACCTATAAATTATTGTAAGAGCGTGTATTTAAAAATACCCAATAATACACGTGTAGTTTTCATACACAATTATATAACAATGAAATATACATTTCATATCACATTTTTTATGGAGTATATCGATGACCAAGCGAGACACCCATCAGTATTACTTTGAATTCTCGGAGGATTTTACATTTCATTATAAAGAACCCAATAGAGTTCACATTTTGTTATGTCGAATCCGAAGGTTTACTGACAATTCATGCATAAATTACTGAATACAAAAGGTATGCTGAAATAAACCACTTGCACGTTATGTATCTTACCTTGATAGATCAAACGAATTTTCGAAATAAATTTGAATACACACATCGAATTTTTTGTGGTGACTAATGAGGTCTCTGGCATGGAATTTATAGTTGAAAAAGACAATAGTGTTTTGGCACAATAGAAATAGGGTGCTTTGTTCCACCAGTCAAACAGGTCTCTGTATTAGGGTCATAATTAACTAACAAATCATAAATATCCCATTTCAATTTTTTTATATCTTAAATAGGAAAACAAGTGGACTAATTTGGAATTGGTTCGGAAAACTAGTATATGAATTGAAAGAATAGAAAAAAGTAGTGTTTGGATTGTACTTTACTAATGGATTTCTAGTAAAACATCACACGTGGAAGGTTAGGGAAAAGGTAATTAACATAAAATTTATGGTTCCTAATTTAATTGGTTAACAGTATTGAAGTCTGGAATATATCAAATATATGATTAACGCTTATCACAAATAAAATAGGATCATAATTAACAGTTAATAACACGTAAAATCATGGCTATTATAAAGCTAAAACCATAAACCAACTTTAATTAATTACTAAATAAAACTTTTGGACTTCAATATCTTAGGCCAAACTTATCAGAATTAACTTTTTCTCGAGTCCATGGTGCATTATTTAATACGAACTACCCAACGAGCCCAATATTGATATACTTGTCTTGCTCTATCGAAATCTAATTATTTGACCCAAATAAAATTAAAATTTAAACTATTTCACTTTGGTCCCTCAACTTTCAAAATTATAAAAAAGTAGACCAAAAATTGTATTCTATAAAATTTTCAGGGCTTTACATTCATCGACCTTACCAACAAATAATATTTTATGAATTGACGACATCATATGATGTAGATGACCCATATACATTTCATTGTATTGCACGATAGAGATATCAAATTTGTGGATGCAACATATGTTGTTAAATATACATTTATATTGATGAGTGGAATACCTGCTGGGCTTTTAACATGAGACATCACTTTTGAAATTACTTTACTGTGAAGCAAGTCTAGTCTAAAGCATCTATGTTAGGCTTAATACCATTGTTGGAGATTGCTTATTCTTATGATTACTGTTATGCTTTTCTATTCGGCCTTTCTTTGTCCTACTAAGGATTCTCCTTTACTTTTGTTATAAATTCAAAATTTATGTGGTTTTTCAGCTTAATCCTGAAGCCAAGGTAGTGAGTAAAGCTGCTCTTGGGAATTTGTTGGGTGGGATTGGGTACTTTTATGGCCAATCAAAAATTTCACCTCTACCATCCTCTAATGTAAGTCTTCTGGCTTTGGTTTTGTCTTGTAAATGTATTTGGAAGCCAAAAATGGCCGCAATTCACAATCAAATTATCCAGTTTTGGTTAAATGTGTCCTGAGTTGATCATCGCAGAAAATTAATTCTAAATATAGTGTAATTTGCTAAAAAAAACCTTGTTTCTATACCTGTCTTGTTTTATGATGCTCGAACTTGAATACGGGTATGTATCTAAGTATCGAATCTTTTATTTTCTAAAATATAGGACACGGCTACGAGGGTATGTCTCTTAAACTTCAATTTTTTTACTAATTCAAGATATTATTTTAAATATATCAAAATCAATTGTTCACATAGAAGGAAATGAGTATTGAATAAGGGGCTAAGACGAATAAAATAGAATTTTGGTGTTTAGTTTTCAATTATGGGAAGTTAATTACTAAATGTTATATAAAATAGAAAATGAGGGACTTGATTGCGATTTGGATTTAGTGGAACACTAAGTAGCACTATATGGAATCCATTTTCGTTTTATACAAAGAAAACCCTGAATTGTCGATAGAGAGAGCGAAAGAAGGAAAAAAGAAAAAGAAGAAAAGGGAAAGAAAAAAAAAGAAGAAATAGAAGAGTGGTGGCGCTAGGTTTTCAGAAAATAGAAACGGGACAGAAGAAAAGGGAAAGATTAAAAAAGAAAGAAGAAAGAAGAAAAAGAAAAAAGCAAAAAGGGCGAAATGTCCAGTTGAAACTTGGAGAATCCAACACATATCCTATACCCATATCGTGTCGTGTCGTGTCGACACGAGTACTTCATCTATATCGAAGAGTCTTTGATTTGGATATAAATTAGATTTTTAGTAGAATTTAATAAAATATGATAAAAGTGTGTGGTTGAAAAGTTGATAAAAATTATGAGTCTCATAAAATGTGTAGTTGGAAATGAGTTTGGGAAAAAAATCAACTTCTAAAAAATTGGGGCCAAATAGGGGCTTGATAACATTTAAAATACAGAAAACCAGTAAAATTCCACTTAGGAAAGTCAATTTGACCTGAGAAAGGAGCATCATAGCTCTAACTCCATGCATAATTTATCAAACTTGTGTGCTTAAATGAGAGCACGACATTAAAAAAAAAGTGATTCACTTTATGTGGAATTTTTGTGCTTGCGGCTAATGTTGGCTGAATACATTTTCCTTCCGAGTTTGGCTAGAATTTCTGTTTTTGTCTGCTTACAATTCTTTCTAAATTGATTCACCAAAAAATTGGCGGTGATGCACGTTTTGGACTCCGAAGTGATATTACAAAATGCTAGGAAGGTTGAAGGGTACTCAAGTTTCCATTCTGCTTCAAGGAGATTGCTTGGACCTGTTGGTAACTAAAAGCTCAATGATACCTGTGTGAGACCTGTCAAATTGGTCACTTATTTTTAATGAGCATCTCTCAGCGTATTCTCACGGATCATCCCCGTCACCCCTTAACCTTCATTTTGACCAGAAATTTTAATGATCTTCTTTAACGATCTCTGAATCCTAAAATTTATGGATATTTCGAACAAGCTTGATAAAAATTGTTGGTGTTATCTGTACTTGTCGCCGAAGATTTTTACCATTTGATTCTACATATTATTGCTCGTCTGTTCGCATGATAATATTTTCTATTTGGATGGCTAGCAAATTAACACAGTGGGGTATTATCTCGTGCAGCTTAAGCTTGGTGATAATTTCATTTCATATTGGCCAGCTGAGCTATACACAGCAGTTCCGAGCCGACCGTTTTTCCCTAGGGGATTTTTGTGGGATGAAGGATTTCATCAACTATTAATCTGGTGGGTTGCCTTTAATCATGTACATCTTTTCCCAGGTTTTGGCTTTAATCATCTTTCCCTTTTTTATTGTCTGCAATAAGTCAATAACTTTCCCTGTAAAACTACCCCGGAATCCTATTAACGTGACTTGATCTTTCTTAATATAGTAATACCTATAAACTTTTGTTTTCTCTTCACGTAAATAGGCGTTGGGATGTTCATATTTCTTTGGATATTATTGGGCACTGGTTAGATCTGATGAATATTGAAGGATGGATTCCACGTGAGCAAATTTTAGGTGCTGAAGCTTTAAGGTGACAGAGCTTAGCTGCTTCTATTGTATTTTCAGCTAATAATTTGTCTTCACTCTTTCACATTGTAA